AGAAAAAAACGTGAGATAAAAAACAGAACTGTCTCAAGTGAAGTTAAGTCAGCAAATCAAAACACTATCAAGTTATACTTTCATGCATTTAATATTATTTAATATTATTCTAATAATTATATAAGCGAATTAATTGTATAAGTGTTGTCGTTTCATTACGTTTCTTATGCATATTTTTTGCATAAATTTTAATACTTTTTTATTATATCGATTTTTCTTTATATTATAATTTATAATAGGTTTTTTTCTTATTTTTCATAGATTTTTTATAGGTATGTGCATAGCATTTTATTTTAGATAATGCATTTTTAGATCTTTTGCACAATGCATTTTAAAGAAAAATGTTTCATATAAAAGTTGTAGTTTAAATTGTAAAATTTTGTAGTTTGAAACTGAATTGATTTATTTGTAAATGACGCTACTGTCGAGATTTTTTATGGTCGCTATTTTTTTAAATGGAATTATATTTTTATTAGGCAGTAGGATTCTTTTATTTATTTTTGATAAAAAGTGTTAAGATACAAATCAGTAGTTTAGATATTTTATATTTTATTCTGACATATTCGGACATCTTGTATATACACATATGTATCAGAGTGAGAACATATGTATTCAATATAAACATTTCCGGAATACGAAATGAAGAAATTTCGTCTTTATCCTATGTTTCTACGTCTATTTTTGAAAAGTTATAATCTTTTAAAAATCGGTACGTGTGTTCCATGAAAAAAAAATAATGAAAAACTCCCCTCACAGTTTTTGCTTGCATGTTCACATTTTTTGCCATCCCCAAAAAGATGTGAAAACATGTGTAGTACCAGCCCTTTGAAATGCGATATGCCGTCGACGTGAATGTGTACGTGCGCCATCTATCGAATAGATCGGATAATTGTGATCGATATTATCAATATCTTCATATAAAGAAATCGCAGTAAGGTGATTTTGGTCTTCTTGGAAAATTAAAATTTCAACACTTCTAATGAGTTCATGATTAATTACATCGTTAATTAACTGACGAAATAGTGTTAATTAATGACACTAGAAAAATTAATTTCATCCCAAAATTTGCGATTTTTATGAAATTTGTATAAATATTGTGGATTAATTTAATCATTAATATTTTGTACAAAAAATCTTGGTTTCGTTGGAAAGTTAAAATTCTAGTTACTTTTATTGAGAAAAATGTTTTATTGAGAAAAATGTATTTACCATAAACATTTGCAAAATATGAAATGAAGAAGATTCGTCTTTGTCTCATATCTTTGTTTTTTTTTTTAAATTATAACAGTTTGATAACTCACACCATCTGCATGTGTACATAGGTTTGAATAACAACAAAGTTATCAAACCGTTAATAGCGCATTGACTAAAGATTTTGGTCTATCTTCAAGAGATATAAATAATATGTATACCACATGTATTCAGTAAAAGGAAAACAAAAAATTCTATATTTTATATAAATCTTATCTTATACAGAAATCATATTAATAATTTAACCTACGAAAATTAGATGATTAACAAGGATTTAGAAATTACACGCAATGATTTTTAAACTGAATATTAATTATCATAGACGATTCTTCTGTATTATCTAGACTTTGTCGAAAAAGTTGAGCATGTTGCCAAGCATGCTGGCCTTGTCCGTTGGATAACGTTACGATTACATTTAATCTCATTGCCTGTCTCACTTCTTCTGTGTAGAAGTTATTACAGTTAGGGATTGGTATGATAATCGTTTTGTCGTCATCAAAGACAGCTTCGATCTTCCAGGATACACTACCTCCTTGAAATACACACGACTTAGCTTTTAGAGTAAATGTCTCTAGACATGACCCGGATTTCATGTCGAAAGTCCACTTAACATGTCCTTGCTTTGCCTGCGGAGATCGCGCTAAATAAATCATCTTCCAATCGTCCTCTATTTTACGGAAGATTCCACCCTCTGTAGTATTCATTCCTTCTAACCATCCAGACTTTTGTTCCAGAATAGTACCGTTGTTGTCTATGATGTCATATAGATCTTTAACGATATTATATCGTAACTCGAATGTTTGTCCATATTTAGAAACATCCCAAATATAATTTTTTTTAGTATCAGCCTAATAAAAAAAAAAATTATATTAAATGAATAAAAGATATAGTAAAAGCTCTTTTTAATTGAGGTTTATAAAAAGTAGCTTGCGAATTTCTACTATTCTATTATTTTATTCCGAAAATAGCATTAATAAAATGAATTTTCGAAAGTTTTCGAATGAAAACTCACGAAAATACGAAAATTTTCCAAGACAATTTAGTCTTTTATATTACGCTTTGTTGTTATTTTAAAATTTGATTCGTGCTGATTACAAAATTTCAAACATGCCTGCGTAGTTTCGCCTCGTGCCAATCTCCACATGAGAGAACCCGAAGTTCGTCCCTCGTAGGTCTCTTCATCATCTTTATTTCGCGAATTTGGAATGTACAACATATCAGCAAGCTCCAACACTTTCCGTTTAATGACATATTCCCTACGCGCGCGGCTGTAATTAGCAGAGCTTTGCCGCTGGTTGGTCAAGGATTGGAGTAACTCTATCAAGCTCTGTTCGGTACAAATTTTACGTCTCTTCATAACGGCTTCTTGATCTCGCGTATAACGCCACGTGACATCCTGCACTTCATCTTTGGAATAGGCTATTATATATGATAATTTCTTTTGCCATCCCTTTTCATACATTAACGGCTTGTCTATGACATTTTCACAAGGATCTATGTGAATCCATCTCTTGTTAGATGCCGACCATATCTGGAGGTAAAAAAATAACATCTACAAGATTCAATTAAAATATACATTGAAGCTAATAAAATTACGTACCTCTGTCCAGACATGATCTGTCTTATCCCATATAAACCGTGCATCGTAGTCTAATGATCGGCATAAAAGCGTGAAGACATTAGTCCATTCTCCGCAGCGACCGCGTCTCAGAGTCAGCAATGGCTTTGGATGCGTATAACGAGGAAATTCGACAACTATATTGCACTTTTGACATCTAAGAATGAGTTAATGTGACAGACTACAAAATTGCTTATGGTAAGTACAATGATTTTATTCAAGAAAAGACTTACCTATGTAATTCTATCCTTGAGCAATGAGGATTTGCAGATTGTATTGCATCTTCATATGTACATTCAGTTGAGCACGTAGGACATATGGGACTGTTAACCCACTCGAAAAATTCATACTTAAACCAACGCAGAAGCTCGACTAGAAATAAATCCTTAGCAATCAATTCTGCTTCAAATTGCGAAGAAGTAGTTCCAGTTGTGGTCAAGTTATCTAATTTGAAAGATCTACAAATGCCAGATAAACGAGCAAATACGTAAAGATAAGTTTTATCATTTAGGAAAGATAAAGAGCATAGATTCAATTACTTTTGTAGTTCTCTTATCTTCGTCATCGTTGCAATTTCTAATTGCGCGATGGGCACAATCTTCCTCGCCTGTTTCTGTAGATTTGGATCTTCATAGTGCATAACACTGTGAAAGTGATCGATGATACTATTGAAAAACGCCTTCTGCGCCATTGAGCTCTTATCAATATCATCGGTTATGGGACTGCTTTCTGTTGTAGTGCACAATAATCTCGACAAGCTCTGGAGCCTCAGGAGGGATGCGTTACGTGGCAGGAAGATGCGGTCTCCATCCTGTTGGATATAATTCTTAATAGCTTAGCAAAAATTTGAATAAATAGTTGGATTTAAATGACAAATCTGAGACCAATCAAATACGAACCTCAACGTAACCGACGTCGAACAGGCACTCCATGGCACCGATGGCCGGCAGAAGTTTCTCGACGACGACCTCATCGTCGAGGCGCAACTCGCGGGACCTATAATTGTCCGGCGACCTCAGCACATTCCGACAGATGCCGAGCAGCGCTCGTCGCGCTTCATCGCGTACATCCTCCTCGTTCTGATCCAAAGATTTCACACAACGCTCTAAACTCTCGTCCATGTCCATGTCGACGTGGACCGTGCGCTCGAACAGCTGGCGATCATCTGTTCGATGTCAAGCGCCTGCCTGCCGGACGTATCGTCATTTTCGCTGACTCCTCGTGCGTCGCTGGTTGCTAAGGATACAAGATAAGCTCTCCAGCTATCAGTTCGCACGAGCTGCACTCTACACACTGAGAATGAGACGGATACAGGTGCGTGGACTAGGATGAAAAAAGGAAAACACGAGAGGCACACAAGGAGCTGCTGGCGAACGATGTAAAAATGTA